TGAATATATATCAAATTTTCTTACTTTCTTTATCTATTGATGGGTATATACATTGCTTCCAAGATTCTGTTATGAGTTGTACTGTTACAAGAATGGATATCCTTAGGTTATTGTAATGTAGGTCTTTAACTTTTGGGGGAAGGTATCTATGAGGGAAGTAACTGGATCAAAAGGGACTACAAATTTTAGTGCTTTGAGGAATTGTCATACTGATTCCAGTAATTATAACTGTTTCCTCTCCCAGCAGCTATTTAGAGGGTTTGCTTTTTTCCTTACAGCCTTAATAGGATTTGTTGGTTTTTTTTTTTTTTTTTTGAGTTTTTGATGGTATTCACTTTTTGTGGAGTGAGATGAAATTTCAGTGTTATTTACATATGCATTTCTGTGGTGGTAAAAATGAACATTTTCTTATGTTCTTAGTGACCATTTACTTTTGCTTCTGTGAAGTGTCTATTTACTTCCATTTCCCATTTTCATTGGGTTTTTTATTTTAGAGGGTAAAACGTCTTTGGTTTTTTATACCTTCTAGATAATAGATACCTTTCCAAGGAGCAGCTGCAAAGGTTTTGCCCATTTTTTAGTTTGTACCTTTACTCTATGGGTTTTTTCTTTGCTGTACAGAAGCTTTTTAAATTGAAACAATCCAATTTGCTATTTTATGTTATGTCTCATACAACTGGGGTTCTGTTTAGAGAGTCCTTGCTTATGATTGTGTCTTCAAAAGCTTTACTTACTTCATCTTTGTGTATGTTTTTCTGTTTTATTTAGGTCTTTGGTACATTTTAATTTTCTTTTAATGCATGATGAAGGGTATAGATTTCTTTTAGAATTCATCTGTGAATATGCCTGGAATGTGGACTTTGCTTTGTCAGCAAGTTTTTAGTTATATTTTCAATTTTGTTAACTGACACTGGTTTATTTAGAATTTTGATGTCTAATCGAGCCAGCTTTGATAATTCATACATTTGTAGAAATCTGCCCATTACTTGTGTGTTTTTCATACCATGGGAATGAACATTTTCAGTGTTGGCACTGATGATCTAAATTTCCACAGGATCTGTTATGATTTATCCCTTTCCTTTCCGATTGCAAGAATTTGAGTTTTTCCTTTACTTTTCTTGGACAAAGTTAGCTAGGGGCTTATTAATTTTATTTTTTCTTTAAAGGAATCAATTATTCAGTTGATTAATTCTTTGTGTTGTTTTCTTAGTCTCAACTGTATTAATTTCTGTTCTGATCTTTATAATATACTTTCTTCCTTGGGCTTTATGCTTGACTTGCTCTTCCTTTCTAGAAGCCTGAGGTGCAGCATTAGGTTATTTACTTGTGTTTATTTCATTTTCTTGATATGATAATTGCATGCTATAAATTTCCCTCTGAGGACTGCCTTTGTTGCATCCCACAGGTTTCTGTATTTTACATTTGGATATTTGATATATGTGCTGCTGAAGCGAGCACAAATTTTGGATTTTTGTTTGATTTTGTTTGATTTGGATTTTTGTTTAAATTTCGTCTGTGTCCCTTTGGGTGTTTAGGAGGATATTATTTAATTTCCATGTGTTTATGTAGCCTTTGCAGTTTTTTTCTCATTAATTTCCAATTCCATTGTAGTATGGTCAGAAAATATACATAGGATAATTGCAGTTTCATTGCACTTACTTAAACATGGTCTACTGGCTTGTATCTGACCAGTATATTTTAAATAATGCTCTATATCTAGTTGATAAGAATGTGTGTTTTGATGTTGTTAGTTGGAATACTCTGTACATGTCCACTACATCATTTGTTCACAAGGTCGGTTCAATTTTGTTATTTTTTTTTGCTGATTTTTTCCTCTATTTGTTCTATTTCTTTGTGACATTCTTCCTGTGTTATAATTGTGCTATTGCTTAATATTTCATGTCTATTAATGTTTTTCTTACGTAGTTGGGTGCTCCAATATTTGATGTATATATGTTTATGATTGTTATCTCTTCTTCTTGAATTTTTCCCTCAATAGGTATGTAGTGATCTTTATGTCTTTTTATCATTCTTGGTTTGAAGCTCACATTATCTGCAGACCGAGCAGGTACCTCTGCTTTTGTTTTTCGGTTCCTGTCACATGGAGTATTGGTTTCCATTCTTTGACATTCAATCTATGAATTAAATATATTTATTGCATACAGTATATTCTTGGATTTTGTTTCTTGATCCACTGTTCCAGTCTGATTATTTTGATTCTTGAATTGATGTCATTTACATTAATGAAATAACTGATGTGTATTGGCATATCTTTGTCATGTTATTTTCTTGCTTTGGTTCCCTAGTTTCCTCCATTGTTTAATTGGTTGTCTTGTTTTGTGGTTTCTTTCTATTACTGTTCTTGGAAATGTAGTCATTTTTATCTCTTTCTAGAATATCTTTGAATACCCTTTGGTAGTTTTGGTTTGGTAGTCATATATTTCTTTAGTTGTCCTTTGTCATAGAGGTGTATTATTTCTCCATTAATTTTGAAAGATAGCATTTCAGGATACATTAATCAGGGTTGAAATTGTTTTCTTTCAGGGTTTGAGCTAAATCCCCAGCCCTTCAGTTTGCTTCTTTGTGTTGTTATTTTCCTGGATTCCTCCTTATGAATGTGTTGCTGCATCCTGAGTGCTTTATGTTCTGGCTGCTCATCCCTTGGTTTAGGGGAATGGGCTAGGCACTCAAGTTCCTCTGAGTCAAGGCTCCCCCAATGGCCAAGGGGCAGTGGGTGAGGCTTCTCCCCTCTTATTGCTCCTTGGGGCTCCCCTAATGTTTGTGGTATGCAGGCACCACTGTTTGCCCAATGGTGGTGGGGGAGGGGCAGGCCTTCTTCATTTCTGCTTGGTTCACTGAGACTCTTGCAAAGCTGATGGGGCAATGGGCAGCTTTTTTTTAATATGGGAATTCAAAGCGATAAACTTTCCTCTTAGGATTGCTATTGTGTTCTATATATTTTTGTACTTTGTATTGGCAATGTCATTTAATTACAGGATCTGTTTAATTTTTTCTATTTCTTCTGTGGATTGTAGAATTTTCAAGACTATAGTTCTTACATAATTTGTATGGTTTCTTTTGCCACTGATATCTAATTTCATTGCTCTGTGATCTGACAGTGTACATGGGATTATTCTAATTCTTTTATATTCAAAGAAAGAGAAGCTTGTTAGGTACTGGTTTCCCTGACAGGAGTTGGTTGCTATCTGGTCTCATCTGAGGAGCTCAGGTTCTTGTTGTCAGTTGGGATGCTGTGTTTCAGGGGAGCTCTGGCCTTCACTTTGGTCTTGAGCATTGCTTCCTGGTTCCAGTGCAGGTCCCTTGGTCTTCTGGCACACATCCTTTCGCCTCTTGGTGCAGATTTTTGACCTTTCATGCAGACCTGTTTGTATTCTGTGCAGGATTCTTTGACTTGACTCCTGTAGGTATTATCACAGGACTTAGGCTGTTGACTGGATTTTTTTGGATCTCAGGTGCATAGATATTTTGCATTCTTCTACATTCAACTTAATCATCACATATCATAGGGAAATCTCAGGTATTTATATGTCCTGCATTAAATCTGCTCCCTTGCAAACCTTTGACTAATACATATAGTCATGAATTACTGAAGGTGTTCTTTTTCATGGAAGAAAAAGCTATACGACATTAGTAAACAGTTATACCATTTTGTCATGAACAATGCAAAGAAGGAAGATAAGATTTCTATCTGACTATCTATCTATCTATATTATTAGATAGATTGGAAATCACAGAATTCAAAGAGAAATAGGGAAGCGTTGCCTTTTCCTCAATTTTTTGCACCAGTCTTCCTCATTGCTTTTGGACATTGCTCTCCACTTCAGCCTTCTAGCAGAGACTCTTGAGCTTTTCAATGCAGACTCTTTGGTCTGCTGATAGGGGCTCACACAAGTGACTCTACTGTGAGTTTTCAGGCTTCCAAGTGTGGGTACTCTGGATCTGCTGGATCACAAGCACACAGAGGGCCATGTTGGAATTTCCCACCTTTGATCCTGCACATGGCCCTTGTGACTCTTCTACTTCTGATCTTGTAAATCAACATAATAAATCTGTTTGTAAATTATATATGTTTTATATAGATTTTTTATATAGAGAACTGTAATTACTATAGTTACCAAAAGGATTATTGGTTTTGAGAATACAGTGTTGCCTCTCTTTACAAATTTAATTTTTTCCAACATCTGATCTTGAATAGAATTGATAGTGAATGGAATCCTATTTTCCCATAAGATTCAATGTAAAAAAGGTTAATCTGTTCTGCACCATATACATTTTTTAGTTATAAAAAGAAACAATGTAAAATAAAATATGAAGAGACAATATGCTAATCTTGCTTATCTCATTACTGGTCTGAACATTCTTATCATCTGCATTATTGCCTGTCGCCTTGTGTTTACCATGATTCTTTCTCAGCACTTCTTTGGAGATGTGCTGGACTGAATAATGCCTTATGGTAGTTTATGTGCTAAAAAGCACACACACACACACACACACACACACACACACACACTCTCTCTCTCTCTCTCTCTCTCTCTCTTTTTACAGCATTTGTACATAGGTCTGTCTATGACCACTATCTAAATTGGAGGAAGTCACAAACATGTGTCAGAGCAGCGATGCTATCTGCGTTTATGTTTGTCTGGGCAAGATGGCCAGTATCCTGTTTGACATCCAGTAAAAAGTTTGTGAAAGGAAGCAAAATTTCACCAAATGTGAAGCAACTGTTTACAAACAGAAGCTTTGGTGAACCAAGGCATTACTCTGAAAAGAAATGAAAGAGAATGGAGCCATTTTTACAGGTTGTGACTCAAAAATACTTTACTTTGCATTCTAATTTTCTGTTAATCAGTTTATATGTTGTTGCTTACTTTCTGCGTATAATTTCATCATTTTGCATTACGTGTATTCAGTTAGCACTCTAAAATAGTAGGAATTTGTTTTATGTAGAACAGTAAGTTAGTATGTTTTCATTCTTACAGTGGGATCATGAGACCTGGCCTCAATGCCATTCTGGGACCAACAGGTGCAGGCAAATCATCGTGAGTATAACAGAAAATATGGGTCAACCTTGTTTATACAGTTTCAATTACCTTAAAAATTGCTTTTATTTTAACAGGGATTGGTTCAGTATTTGTCATGCTTGTCTAGCCCTAGCTGTTATACATAATGTTCTATTAGGCCAGCTTGTGAAAGACTGCAAAATCTTATTGGTCATGTTTACTACTAGGACACTATAGAGTGATGGGTTTTCAGCAGCCAATATTATGAACCAATGGAGTGTGAAATAAGTGGATAATATTTGAAAAGGGAAGATACAACAGAAGTCTTATGTAAGGTCAAGAGGCTTAAATAAAAGAGTACAGTGACTGGGTTAAAATTTCCAAGTTCTTACACCAGGAGGATAATTGGTGGGAGGTCTGTGCCAGATAAACCAATGATAACATATTTTTATTCTAGGAGGCTCTCATGTTGCATAAAATAAATGTACTTATTTAGTGAATGTGGAATTTCTTGACTAGTTGTTTTTCTGACTTGAACAGAATTGTGAGAGATGTGGCCTGTGTTTTATGGTTAGAAGCTTCACAACGTGTATATCATTTTACAGGTTGTTGAGTGTCTTAGCTGCAAGAAAAAATCCAGAAAAATTCTCTGGAGTTGTATTGATAAATGGAGACCCTTATCCTGCTGATTTCAGATGTTGTTCAGGTTATGTGGCACAAGTACGTATCACTAAGTTTGCATTTTAGATTTTGTCACTTTTATATGGGCAATTGCCTTGGCGTCTCTCTCCAGCTGATTATGAAGCATATAGAGCTAAGTTTCTTTATACCATGTTTTAATAATTGTCCATTAGAGTTCCTGTGGTAGTAAATGAAAATGCAGAGTGGATATGGACTATGGTTTTTATAGGACAATGGCATCAGTTGTAGATGGTGTATGCAGTCCAACAGGGTCTATTGTTGTGTTTTTCTGTCTTTCCCCTTTCTCTGAAGCTGTCTTTAACAAATCATTGTAGAGAAAAGCCTGAAAGTGTTCGCTACTCGTCATCATGAGATAGAATAAAAGATATTAAAAGTGGGTCAAAAGAAGACACAGAAATTGATTTTTAAAATTATGCTTCAAAAATAAAATTATAGTGTAAGTAAAACTGAAGCAAGAGAAGCTATTGTTTCCCTGCTTCTGGAGGCCACCCGGCTTGTGACACTGGCCCTTCTTCTTTAATGAAATCGTGTTAAATTCCTAGAGATTCTTTTACAATAGCTTATAAATTGCACTGCAATAGATGTGTCCTTTTCATCTGCAAGTTGCCTTTCCTCCAGCCCCAAAACAACAACTTTGGCAATAGGCTGTCTCCACTTCAAACACATGCACTCTACCCTTATGGACATTAAAACTCCACATTCATTGTAGGTCACCTGACTTAAAGGTAGCCCTTTAAATGTGCCTTCCTCCAGCTTGTAGTGTGGCTCACTTCATTAAGCACATGCAGCCCTTAAATGGGTCTGCCTATAGTCTGTCATAAACCATATTTGTACCTCTTTCTTGTAGGTACTAAACATTGTTTTCCTGCAAGGTAGTCAACAAAACCTCAGATGTATTTTAAGGGGGTAAGATAATCATAATTGCCTGCACTCTCCTTGGATGTGCAAACATGGATTGAAAAATTACTCCAGTGGGTTTTGCAGCTGTCTGTATATATAGTTACTGTAATTTATAGAATTGCCTGGTCACCAGGAGCTAGAGTTTTCCCTTGGGTATGTGATATGCTTGCATTAAGTTACATGTTCTAGAGAGGTGGATGAGTTTAGAAAAGGTTCATTTTGTTTCACTAAAATTTGTCTTAAAATTTGTCACTATTTGTCTTAAGGATGATGTCATGATGGACACTCTGACAGTGAGAGAAAACATACACTTCTCAGCAGCTCTTCGGCTTCCAACAACCATATCGAATCATGAAAAAAATGAGAAGATTAATGAGGTCATTGAAGACTTAGGTCTGAATAAAGTGGCAGACTCCAAGGTAAAGTGATTAAAGCTGGTAGAATCATAACCACATAATATGACTTCTCTTCTGTGAAACATTTGACCTTACTCAATTGTGATCTACGTTTGCGGGAGAGTGGCTCTTCCTACAGTGAGGAGTAAAGTGTCTAGTAACATCTCAAGGAGATTTCTATTAAGCTGGAAAAGTTGATTTAAGCTGGAAAAGTTGATTTAAGAATGTTCCTGGGAGTGGAACAACAAGCTCATGTTCTCCTTTTACTCTTACAAAGGTAACTGTTATGGCACTGCTCCACTGTTGGTGGGAATGTAGACTGGTGCAGCCACTGTGGAAATCACTACAGAGATTTCTCAGAAGACTAGGATTGGAAGTTCTATTCAATCCAGCTATTCTCCTCCTGGGTGTTTTCCCAGAAAAACTGAAGAGGTCATGTCACAGTGATATATGTGTACCCATGTTCATAGCAGCACAATTTGTAATAGCTAAGTCTTGGAAACAACCAAAATGTCCATCAACTGCAAAGGGGATGAAAAAGATGTTGTATTTTTATACAATGGAATATTACTCAGCTAAAAAAAACGATGATCTTGAGGCCTTCCTAGGAAAATAGAGGCAACTTGAGACTATCCTCATAAGTGAAATAAATAAGAATAATATTTATAAGTATCACATTGTGTCTCTAGTTTAAAAAGTAATGAGAACTGTAGGAGTACTAAAACTCAATATGTGAAATTGCTATAGTGAAAAAGAGGAAAAGAAAATGCTCTAAAGGATATAACTGCATGTATGTTTAAGTCTGTAAGATAGATATCCATATACTTAGCATTTGTTGGATCATTGAACAGAACTGTTCGCAGTCTCACTGCTTGAATGTCCACTTTGTGTGCTTTAATTTTGTAACTTGAACAACTATTTCTAAGATGACAGTATTTAATTTATCATCTAGTAATTTCTTACTTTTTTTGAATTCATGTATTATTTCTACTCTTTTTTCTGTTTTTCTTTTTCTTCTCTTTAACTAAAATTTTTCAAAAAGGTAACCATTATGGGACCTGTTCCTTAATTTATTTAATATCTGGTTAATTGTGATCACAATGGTGCAGAGCATGCCAAAATTACATAGCAGAATTTCTTCTTTTCTTGTTAGAGGTTACAGTAAAATAACACATCAAAGATATCAAGAAAGACAAAAGAGAAGCACAGGAAAGGGTGGTCATGATGGTTATGAGGGAAAACTTGAAGAGCAGGAGGGTGAGAGGAGACCTCAAGACCATGGCAAGTGAGCTGTAAGAAGGGGAGTGAGACCAGGTTGAAACCCTCAGAGAGAGAGATCTGGTTGAAGAAATAGCAAGTGTCCCTGTGGCCAAGCCAGAGCCTGTTGCATGTGTGATATCAAAGAGACCCAAGGAATAGAACCTAGTGAATAAGAGGAGTAGAGATTGGTTAAGGTACTGTTGTAGCAAAATGCCACAGAGTTGATTGCTTAACAATAGAATTTAATTATCTACTAGAAAAAGGAACTTATTCATTAAGTCCATATTCATTCACATGCCCCAAATTGTCTCCAAATGTCTTTTGCAGTTTAACTGTTAATAGGATCCCACTGACAGCCAGAAATAGCATGTCTTTGGAGACTTTTAATTACAGTTTCACATTTTTCATCTTCCCCAAAACTTTCTACTCTTCTCATTAGCCAAAGTGATACTCATTGGTTGAAAAGACTGAGACAACTATACTTTGAAATACCCCACCTTCTACATTTGTCTGAGAAGATCCATCAAGATCCTCTGATGACTTACAGTGCAGGCAGTTTCTGTTGTGAAGGGGTTATGGAAATTAAAAAGATGCTAATATAGTCTGATTGAAGGTGAATTATCCTGGCTCCACATCTACTCTCTTCTTGTAATTCCATTTGGAGACTCTTACTGGAAAAAGTAGAGAAGTATGTTGGTAAAATACAAATTCTATAGGTATTTTCTCTTATGTTCTCATGTTTTTACCTCATTTACTCATTTGTGATATTGGGAATACAACCCAGGACCTTCACTCTAAGATGCGTCCCCGGCCACTTTTTAATTATCTTTTTATTTTCATACAGGGTCTCGCTAAGTTACTAGACTTGGGCTTGAACTTGTTGCCATCCTATTTCAGCCTCCCAGAGTGTGGAATTACAGGAATATGCCACCATGTCTGCCTTTTCTCACCTGTTTTAGGCTCTGATTCATCTATATCATTACACTTATTATTCTTATTTACCACCTTAAAATAAATATTTGACTTGATAAGTTACCTATAAAACTATAAAGAGTATGAGATCTCAGCTATTTAGCAGTTGTGACCTGAGTTTACTAATCTCATAAAACAGAACCCTCTTCCATCTCTTTTTATCTCTTCAGAATTGTGAGAATAACAAGATATAGTGTCTTTTGCAGGAGTGGCACAAAGTTTTTTACCAAATGATAGTGACTATGGTCATGCCTGTTGGTGATATTTTGTTTTAGGTTGGAACTGAACAAATCCATGGTGTGTCCAGGTCAGATAGAAAAAAGACCAGTATCGCCATGGAGCTGGTCACCGATCCTTCCATCTTGTTCCTGGATGAGCCCACAGATGCTTTAGACTCAAGTACAGCACATGCTGTCCTTTTACTCCTGGAAAGGTAACTGCTATGAGAACTGTTCTTTTATTTATTTAATATCTAATTATTTCTGTGCATAAGATGTTCTTGGTGCAGACGATGCAAAAGTGAAGTAGCAGAATTTTACTTCCTTGTTGGAGAGAAACAGTCAAATAACACATTAGAACTACCAAGAAAGATGAACGAGAAGCACAGGAAGTGCTGCCCATGGTGATTGTGAGGGCTGATTTGAATATCAGCAGTCAGAGAGGACTTCAAGACCGTTGCATGTGAGCTGTAAGCAGAGTGGTGGGTGAGACCAGGCTGGATCTGGCAAGAGAGCTTTGTCGAAGAAACAGTCAATGTCTGTGATCAAGCCAGAGCCTGCCTCATGCGGGGCTTCCGAGGCCTGAGGGACAGAACCCAGTGAATAAGACGAGTGTTGGTTTACTTACTGTTGTAACAAAATGCCACAGAGTTGATTGCTTACCTATAGAAATTAATTTTCTTACAGCTCTGGAGGTTGGAAATCTTGTCCGTAGCATTGTGTCTCTGACTCTAATGTCATTGCCTGGAGATGCCCATCCTCTCCCTCTGTGTGTCGGACTGTGTCCTCATCTCCTCTTAACTGGACCCTATTCACACACTCAGTGACCTGGTTTAGCTCCAACTGCCTGAAGAACACAAGTTATCATTACTTCTAGACCCATAGTAAACAAATCTAAGAAATACACACTTACTGAGTGTGTTCATATATGTATATGTGAATTATGGAAGTATACTGATGATAAATACATTTTATATATTTATTTATTCTGCATGAATATAGGTTTGTGCATACATTTATACCATTTGTTTGTATGTGTTATTTAGTAATGTTTTCTCAAGGTAGAATAATTTATAATAATCTTGAAGTACAAAAAAGTTTAAGATTTATCATGTGATTATTGGTTTACTATTTAGTTAATATAATACAGAAGTGAGTATATTGTTTGAATACTTGAGGTGGTTGCTAGCAGTCTGGATTCCCTATATACAACACATGGTTTCTAATTCAGTGTCTGGGGAGACTTCAAAACAATCATTTTAATAAGTCTCCTAATGGATTCTATACTGTTAATGCACCATCCTTTAGGAAACTCTTGCCTATTTAGTAAAAGCATTAAAGTTAGATGAATTTACAATATGAGACTCAATAAGATAGTTAGAGAAATGAAGTTGAATTGGGATCAAATGGCATGATATGTGGAATAAAGTATTTTATCAGGGAGTGCCATGTCAAATGTGTAATTATTGGTTGTTTTCACCCTTGCCGTAGGTTGTCTAGGCGGGGACGAACAATCATCTTCTCCATTCGTGACCCTCGGTATTCCATCTTCAAGATGTTTGATAGTCTCACCTTACTGGCTGCAGGAAAACTAATATTCCATGGCCCTGCACAGATGGCTGTAGAGCACTTCGCATCAGCAGGTAAGGTTGAATTCTGTATGCCTTAGGTGCTTCAGGCATTGAATCCTGGAAGTGAACAGAGGAGGATGCAGGAGTCCTGTTTGATCTTGCATCAACTTTGGGTTTTACCACTTTAAAACCTCTTTGGACATTTTAGCACCAGAACTTTTCTTCATTTTGCAACACTTGTTTGTTGTTTAGGTCCATTTTTGTCATATTTGAGTATGTATATGAATGTGTGTCTGTCTGAATTTTTTTCCTGGGTCTATGTGTGTGTTGCTTCTCAGGGGTAATGACATTTTTGAGAGTTTAGTATACAGTGCGTGGGTCTCACAATCAGTTATTATGTCACTGGAATATTTATTGATGGTGGTGCGATAATTAAGGACTGACAGAAGAGCTTGCATATTGAACTGTATTCCTAAACATTTTAAAGTTTTTGTTTCAAGATGGTGTATCTTATAACGCACTAAGTTACCCAACGTTGGCTCAGACTTACCTTTCTCCTACATCCTTAATCTCTCTTTGATGTGGTAACATTTCTGCATGCTTCTTTCTAACAGAGATTGAGTTAGGTGATTTTGTTTTCAATGGTGCTTTCCCTCTTGGTTCATTTATGATATTTTCATATGATTAGGGATGCTCTCCCAAATCTACATGCAATTTTAAGTATTTACTTGCCTCCTGTCTTAATGTGACTTTGTTTAATCTGTTTCATTTAAAAATAAATCAGCATACTGTATATGAAACTGTAGTCCATGGAGTTGAAGTTAGCTTTCAGATTTCAGGCCAACTTGAGACGATTGCACCAAAAGAAGTTGAAAGCTGAGTTCAGATGTGCTGGGTTGGTCACATTCTCTGCAGAATGCTGTTCTGGGCATTTCTTGTCTATTTGGAGTTAATGATACCATCACAAATAAAAATTAGACCTCAGCATTTAGTTGATGAGGAAATCATCATTACTGGCATGTGTACTGCTGTTTCAGTGTTCGTTAGGGGAATTCAGAGAATATATAAACTCTGGCATTTACAGTTTTTCTTTCTGTACATGATACAGAGAGTCACTGAAACATCACTATATGAGGGAAAAGATAAGTTAGGTGAAAAAAAGATGAGGAAAGAGGAGAAGTTTTTAGATTCGATATTCATATGCTTCACCTCACCTACCCTCTGCTATGAATGCTTTTTATTTCCAAGGTCATCAGCTTTGTCCTTTTGGGTTGCCTTCTTTGCTCCTTAGGTTACAACTGTGAGCCCTGCACCAACCCTGCAGACTTCTTTCTGGATGTCATCAATGGAGTCTTCACTGCTGTGGAATCAGACAGAGAGGAGGAAGACAATGAATGTATGTGGGCCTGTAAGATTCACAGAGTTTTACCTAATTGTAGTGGCTGAGATTTAGCAGTGGGATAGCTCATCTGAAGAAGGCTTTGTGATTTCATGTGAATGAAGCCTCTTTCTCCCTTTCTTCTTTCTTTCTTTTTCTTTCTTTCTTTCTTTCTTTCTTTCTTTCTTTCTTTCTTTCTTTCTTTCTTTCTTTTTTCAGATGCTGAATTGAACATAGGCTCTATTGGTGCTAGGAAAGTCTTTTATCCCCAACGTATGGTCTTCTACTTGTAAAGAATTATATTTTGAGCCAGGACCCAGGCTGGTTTCCAATTTGCTGTGCTCTTGTCTCAGTCTCCCTCGTTACCAGGGAGTCAGTGCATTTCACAGTACCTGGATTAAAGCAGTGCTCTGATAACAGTCAAGAAATACCACATTTTCCTTGAGTGCTCTCTGTGGTTTTGATCTAATTTTATAAATGAGCATCTATAAAGTCCTATCACTTCTAAGAAGAATTTGCTTTAAAATAAATATGCTTATTCTTTTTTTATGGAAAAGATATTGAAATCAGTTAGCTGCTAGCTTTAAGGTTGATTATGGTTAGGGATAGGGTTGGGGTTAGAGTTAACTCTAACATTCTTAATTCTCAGTGAAATGCAAGGACCTGAGTTTTATGTTAATAATCATATGTCTGTGCAACAATGTGTCTATTTAAAGAATTAGTGCTAGAATGGGAGAAGGTCAGCTAATTTGTTGCACCCATAAGTTTATAGCACTAGTAAAATGTGATTTTTTAAGTGTGTATAGCCATGGCGAAGCTATTAGTGTTTTATCCTTGAACTATAGACTTAATACATGATATAAGCAAGAGTTTTTGAAATATATTCAATCATTTTTTGTCTGTAATACTGTTTCTTCTTTGTCCATCTTTGTTATAAAGGTGAGAAGATTGAAGAATTTTTCTTGAGGGATGATCCAGTCATAGAAAATTTAGCTGAGTTCTATGCCAACTCTTCCTTCTCCAGAGATACAAAAGCTGAACTAGATCAACTCTCAGATGGTCAGAAGAAGAGGATCTCAGCCTTCAAGGAGTTCACCTTTGCCACCTCCTTTTGGCACCAACTCAGATGGATTAGCTGGCGCTCACTTAAAAACTTCCTGGGTGATCGCCAGACCTCTATAATCCAGGTAACCTGGAAGATGCTTTTCATTGTGTTGTGAAAGAATTATGAGGAAGCAATTTGTTTCTAACTTAGTTGTTCATCTCCTACTCACCCTTCCATGCATTTGTCATCCCTACTCCATCTAGGATACGAAAACAATCAATAGGACAAGAAAATACACTTAAGTTTTAATTCTTCAAAATTTTTTTTGGAATGCCTCAGAATATTTCATAGAAACAGTGATAAATAACTTAAGTAAAATTCAACTTTGCTTCAAAATATATAAATTAAAGAAAATATCACTTAATTTGTTTGTTTCCAACAGGTGTCCACTTTCCTTCATTGATCCACTACAGAAAATCACTACGAGGTCATATGGTACACTTTGGGAACTTGAATAAAATAGGGAACACAATAAAAATCTTTGATGCAAATTATTTTCTTATATAATCATAACAATTATAATTGAATAAAAATAAAAAAGCATGTCTAGTTTTTCTATAATTTATAAGACACTCAATTTTGCTGATTATTCCTGGTTGTTTTTTATAACAAAGGGTTAAATGATTACATGCTTTGGCATTAAAGAAATACTAGAGTATACTTAACATGTGCACTATAATTTTCACATTTGACTATTATTTTCATCCACCAGAAAGCCAATATTATTAGTGGTCATTCTAACAATTGCATCAAAAGTTTCTGATTTTTGCAATTTTGCCTTCCTTTAAGGATATTGTTATTTTTGTGTCTTATCAGAAAATGGTAATTATTTCTTTAAGAATAGATTTGAAATATAACTGCATGTATGATTGTGTATAAGCAGATAACCATATTAGTACGTTTTTTTTTTAACAAAACGGAGTGCACTGTTATTGTTTGATTGCCCACTTTCTGTACTTTTATTTTCTGACTTGAACAGCTATTTCTAAGATGACAATATGTGATTTATCACCTACTGATTTCTTAGTGTAATTTTTTTGAAATTCTGTATTATTTCTACCTCTTTTCTGCTTTGATTTATTTTTTCTCTTTAAATAAAAAAAGAATAGATTTGATATCATTTGAAAGTTCAGGTGCATATTCACCCTCTGTGGTGCACCAACAGGCTCATTTCCACAGAAGAAGCCTAGCAAGGTTCAGAGAAGCATCAGTATCGAGAATAAGTGTAGAACCATGTGTTTCCTTGAGCTTCGCAATTACTGTTGAGGTTTAGAAATACTGGAATAGTAGTAAGACAGTACGAAACCTTTTTTTGTATAGGATCAGATAGTAAATATGTTGCACTTTTCAGGTCCTATATGGTCTTTTGCTCAGGTCATGAATCTTGCTCTTTTTTTGTGGATACAGTCTTAACTAATATGTAAGAAAATGAACATGGATATGTGATGATTAAATTTTATTCATAGATATCAAATTTTCATTTCACATATATTTGATATAAAAACATTACTCTTGATCTCCATCCTCTATTTTAAAATTGGTTTAAAAAAGCTATTTTTGGGCGCTTGATGTTTAGCTCAGCCACATAAGCGCCTGCCTTGCAAGCAGGCAGTCGTGAGTTCGATCCCTGGTACTGATAAAAAGGAAAAAGACAAAAAAAAAAAAAAAGCTATTTTTGTCTTATTGCTTAGCACAAACTGATGTCTGGCCTTCTAATCTCTGGGCCATTATTACAGGCCTTGGGATAGCTTCTTTAACTTCATATTCTTTATTATTTGCATCATTTTTGTATATAGAGCTGTTGAATTATTTAAGACTTCCTATGTCAAATCTTACATCTATTTTCCTACAGATTTTTTTCTTTGAACTTGTTGTACATTTCGGTGTCTCAGCATTGGTTATTTACTAATGGTTGTATTTGGAAAATCTTGCCACAAATTGGTTATTTGTATAAGGAGAGTATTGTTCATTTAATGTGCCAAGGTTATTCTGATCAAATCAACTTGGCAGATAAAATAGTTGGTCAAATGAAGAGTCCTTTCTATTAGCAAATTAAACATGTGACTCTGGATTCATTCTATTAGAGATAACCTTAAATACCCCTCCGAAATATTGGATAAATATCTGTGAATAGTAACATATTTGGAGAATTATTTTTTAATCACTCTCAGCTACTTTTTTTCAAAGGATAAAAGCCACCTCAGATTAATTTGACAAGGGTTGTACCAATGTAGGGGATTGCTAATAGGAGGTTTGTGATTATGGTAGCATCTCAGAATAATATTTGTCCTCAGGGTAACATGTATACTATGAAAGCAGTGGTCATGACTGTAAATATGAGCAGGACTCTGATGTTTCAAGTTTCTAGAAATGTATAGGTTCCATAGTAAACACTTCGTCCAATGTGGAGGTAGAGGAAAATGAAAAATATTGATTCTCCATTGGCATGAATGTATCAGATCAGTCAGCCATAGTTGACATTTCAGCAGATGTGAGTGACAGATGAGAAAGTTGTGGCTGTGTGTGTAGTACAGTGTATTGCTACAAATAGTCCTGTGATAATTTTTAACTCTAGGCAGATTCTAAGAGGGAGCAAAAATTTGATCATGCTGAGATGTTAGATCGAGCTTGGAGGTTGATAAATGAATGATTGATGATTTTGATTAGTGTGTGTGATTTTTGTATGTGGGTCATTAGCTTTGTTTCTATAGTTCAATTACACAGTGGTTTTTTCATTCCACTGGTCATATGACTTTAAACGCTGTGCACATTCTTAGTGTCTTGTTTATCATAGGCTTTATATGCCTATCAGCGGATTCTTCCATTTTATAGCAGCTTAATATTGATTGTTAGCAGCGGTATTGGATGTATACTCTTTTTAAGTCAAGGTGTGTCATTTTTAGGACTCATAGTATTTTTAATCTATCTAGAAGGAATAATAGGCATATTTGGTTATACAACAGCTTTAGCTACAGAATGGTGCCTAGAGACGTGAATATCTAGTGTAAGTATTTGAAGCACTTTGTTATTAAGATTAACTGTAGAGTTTTTATTGTTTTATTGATGAGCTAGTAATGATTAAGTTGAGATTTTAATTTATTGCTACAGTATACGAGAATGGATTATTTATGATTATGAAAGTGTGGTAGGTTTTGTTGTTGAAGATCCTATAGGTGCAGCTGCTATTTCTAGCTATAATAGTTGATTAATGTTTGCAGCTATTTGATCTATGTTTGTAGATATTTTTATTGAAATTACTCGCGGTAATTAGATAAATATTATAGTTACCAGAGGTATCAAGGTACGAAAAGAAAGGAAATAGAATTTAATTAAGCCTTTCTGATTTGATAAACTAATGAATGCTGAAATTTTTAGGCTGCAAATGTTTTTTGGAGTTGCTCTTTCATACCAAATTAAGTTGCTTATTACTGGTGCTAAGTTTTGACTTGGCAGAATTATAAGAAGTGATTGGTGCGTGAGTATTGGAAAGAAGCCTAATATATTAGAAAAGTTGGAGGGCTTTGCTAAATTATTTATTTTATTCCACAGACCACATGCCCAATGCTCATAGCAGTGTTATTTCTTCTATTGTGCAATGTTCAGTTTGCCTGAAATTTTCTCTCATGACAGAATGAGTAACAATTTCGTACCTTATAAAAAGCATGAAAAGCAGAACTTTATCATAAAGTGTATTGTTTTCTCAAAATATCTGAAAACTGACTAAAATAATTTAAGAATTTAAAAATCTGTATGACATCCTATTGATTACAGTGATATTTTGCTAATATCATGGTTTAGATCTCATGTCCTTTCAGAGTCCCCTGCATCCAGAAGTAGACTTTCAAAAGTGATTGGATGATGAGTTTTAGGAAATGATTTCATGATATAGCTCACTTGATACTGAGAGATCTGGACTGATTAGCAGTGGATCACTGGAGTTATGACCTGGAAGAATGTGTCTCACTCTCTGTTGCTTCTGTTCTCTCTCTCTCTCTCTGCTTTTTGTCCACCATCATGAGCATTTTTCTTCTACTTGGGCCATTTCTCCACATTCTGCCTTAGAGACAGCTAACTCTGGACTGAAACCTCTGAAGACCATGAGTAAAAAGTAACCTGTTCTCGTTTAGGTTGTAGGTTTTAGGTACTGTGTTCCAGTGAGGAGAAAGTAACTAAGACTTGGGATAAGGTATCATGTTTGAATAAAAAGCACAGAGGATATGGGGTGTTTAGTTTTATGAATATCATAAAGTGTTTTACCGTACTATTGCCCAATGGGTTTGCTGCATTTTGATAGAGCCATCAGCAGTTATCTTGGAAAACTGCTCTGCTGAAATGAAGATGGGTATATTCTGAGTATAGTGAAAACATGCCAGAGCAACTGAATTGCTCTCATATTAGTATTTGATTATCAATGGTATTTTAAAGGATATTTCATGAGTGGAGCATTTAAATGATATCCTTCAGAGATTATGGTTTTAACAAGTTAGTCTTTACAGATCATTATTCTGTTATACTTCTTCGCTTTTCTTCATTCCAAACACATTTTTATAAATTATTTCTTGTTTTCATACTGCTATAGTATTGGTATTGTTCAATTAAGACATTTCCAAGATACATTGTAGAACATTTTCATTTTTAGATGATCACTTCTCACATTTTTATATGTAATCCACTAGTAACTGATTAGAATTCCTCCATTATATTATGTCATAAAGTAGTGGTGAAGCCACAACTAATTGCTGGTGCTGCAGAAACTTTTTCTCCTAAATAAAAAGGAGATATTTGTGTAGTATCCCTAGGAGCCATGCGAGTACTGGCAGCCACGTGGCCTTGTGGACCACAGGGCTCACAGGCTGAGATTGCATGGAAAAGCAGTGAGAGACACGGGTAAAGGCAGATCTTTACTCTTTCTAGGGAAAGTTGGCAGAAAGTTTTCCTTAAAGTGAATTATCTTTTTTGTACAACCAACGACTTCTTAGAGATTGGATAACTGGCATATATTTCATTCATGACTCTTTATTATGGAAAATGCCATTGTATACTTTAAAATCAGGGTCAATCCTGGGTTCTTGTAAATGCTAAGCAAGCACTTTATCTTTGAGCTACTTCATAGCTCTAAAATGTCATTTGAATTCATCTAAGTTTCACTTTAGTTTCTTGTAGTGTAAAACTGTGCATGTCCGCAGGCACAAAGACTGACATTGACACGTCAGTTCACGACACGACTCCTAGTCATGTAGACTCTATATAATTTCCACAAAGATTCTTCCAGATGCCTGTGTTGCTCTTTTATGCTTCATAGGATTCATGAGCACAGCACCTGAGCTGTGTCCTGAGCTGGTGTTGTGTGGTGGAATACTGGGAGGAAGTTTAGCTGTTCTGGTCATCTCCTCTGTTGTCCTGTCAGCTTCCCAAACAACTCATACATTTTCAGTTTAATGTAGGGAAGAGTCTAACAGAGTGTACTTTATACTCTCCAAGGATCTTTGGCCAGCACACTAAGAGTGTTAAGTTCAGTGCAGATATCTACGTCTATTCTGTATATATATCTATATCTATTTCTATATATGTATCCTTATCTATAGGTGCTTACATTTATATCTACACCTATATATCTATGTATATCTATATCAGTCTAGCAGGGTATACTTTATGTTCTCTGTGGAACGTTGGCCAGCACAATTAAAGTCTTGTTTATGTCATCTATCCCAATAGTAAATAACGTGTTAAAATTTTACTTCTAATTGAACCTTTTTCCTTTTTTTTCCTTTTTCTGTTTGGAAAGCTCATTATACCATTTATAAAGGGATTGCTTGTGGGTGCCTTTTACCTTGTCACAAAAAATGATTGTGCTGAAATTCATAATAGGTAAGTAATTTTGCCTCTTGATTTTGTGAAATAATGTCACTTTGTTCAAGCTTATAGATATCTGTTCAGAATTTTAGTGTACGACAAGTATGATATGTCTTTGTTTTATTGTGCTAAGATGAGTTGATGCATAAAAAATGAGTAAAAGGGCTTACTTTTGTCACACTTGTATGTATGTAGTATTATACTATACACAACACAGTTTTAACTATTTTAAGTGTACAGTGCAGTAGAATAAAGTACATTCATTTTGAACTGGCACCACCACAATGCCAATCCACAACTGTTTTTTTTCCAATAAAATCTCCGTGTCCAGTAGAACACTAATTACTTGTTTAAGTCTTTCCAAACTCCTGATTTGTAGAATTCTTTCTGCTGTCTGAATTTTAATACTCCAGGAACCTGATATACTGAATATTTTCATGTGTGTGTGTGTGTGCGTGTGTTATTTCCCTACGCATATTATCCTTAAGGTTGACCTAAGTTTTAACTTGCCTTTAAATTTTATTTCTTCCTGAGACTCAGTAATATTCCATTGTGTTACGCAGAAATTTAGCCAGTAGTAGGTCAAGAAACAGGTGACTTGTGTCTACATGAAAATAAAAGAAAACGTAATTTTTTTCCCTTTGCTTTCTTAATAGTTATCTATACGTAAAATCCATAAAAGCTTGGGGTTTAAACTTTAGCTCACATGAATATAATATCCTGTGAACACACTGATAGTTCCAATTCCTGTGCAATGTCCAGACCACTGGTGAAAGTTTGTAAAGACCTCAGGTCCTCAAAGCACACAGAAAACATCCATATAGGAGGTACACCAAAATCTAGAAATTCAACATTTTCCTTGTAAAAAACACACAGTATCCTCAGATGAAGGAGAAGATATTTCCTGTAGTTCTCACTTTTAGGTCATGGACAGCATTTGAATAGTTTGTTTCTTTGCCCTTTTGACATCCCACCTTTATTTTTATCACAATAGTTCTACAAGGATGTAGATAGGATCTTTCCCTTTGATCAGTTGATGTTACATTATTTTCGGAAAAATCTTCGTACAACAGTGACCTAAGTGTGTTTAAATAACTGGGAAGTTTTCATTTGTGCTCTATCCTGCAGGTCATGGATGCTTTATGTGTTGATAGCCTCCCATTGTGTTAGCTATTTATCTGCAGTACAGTTCTTTCTTGGGGAGAAGAAGCTCTTGATGTGAGTAGGGATATATTTTGGGAAGGGTCACTGAGGATGTTGGGCAAAATGACTGCATCCAGTATGTGGCTAATAATGTCATTCTGAGGACTGTTAATATGTATTTTCTAAATTTTCCTTACTTAATTGTTCTCAATTATAAATACTGGTCATTTATAGTATGAAATTTTAAATTTTATGGAGGCCATCAACACTTATTTAGATAATGTGGCCAAGGACCTGGAAAAAATGGCGCAGTTATGGTGCCAGATACCAAGTTAAAGAGTTGCGAGTTTAAATTTTATTCAGTAAATGTCAATGATGTGGAGGAAGCAGTGATAAAAGGCTTAAGGAGGCTTTGGATGAGAATAAATGGTGGGTCTAACACCAAACTGGAGTTGGAAAGTAAAAGTGACGAAGAATGTGAGCAAGTTCAACCTTAGGTGTTTGGGGAAGAGACAAGAACTAAGCTTTATAGTAAAAGGAAGGATGATTTTGTTTCTTGCGTTTTTCAGAGATGGAGGAGATTTGCCCATACTTACTTGCCAAAAAATAGGTAACATCAAAAAGGGAAGGAATGAAGATAGTAGTGGAAGAGTTTAGAATTATGAGGGAAAGATGTCAGAAAGAGGAAAGTTATGGCCTTGTTGGCTGATGGAACTCTGTAGATTACAGGTGTAATCACTGAAAGAGGAAGTCTTTTATTTAAATATAAGAGTAGCTGTAGAAACATCTTAGCTGCATTGGGGCTCTTCAAGAATAATAATGCACCTTCATAATCAGAAGGCAGAAAGCCCACACCTCCATTCAGATTAACGCTTGAAGTTCTGCTCTTTACAGAGAAGCAGCATCAGAGGAGAAGTGTAGTCTCTGAGGACAGTGTGGATGACAAGAGGGATCTGCAATGAGAAAGGTCACAGTGAGAGCCTCCTGTGTCAGAGGTACTGGCATCTGAGAGTATTAAGAGTTGAGTGGAGTATGGAGGATGTGGGATGCTCTCATATTATAAATGAAGCAGAAGAAACCTGTAGGGAAAGAATCTTGTCTGCTAGTTTATGCCTTATTAACTTGTCAAGGATGTGCAATATGTGTTTGTCATCTATAGGCATGAGTACGTGAGTGGATACTATGGAGTGCCATCTTATGTCCTTGGAAAACTTTTAAGTGATTTGCTTGCCAGGAGGTTGTTGCAAAGTTTTATCTACACTTGCATACTATACTTCATGATAAGTAAGTAAGAAGACAAAGAGGCTGTGTCTTTAGTCTTGAATGTGAGGTAAAGCTGATTTCCCTTTGTCAGTAGAGTTATGATTCTCAAAACTGCAAATCATGCCCAAAACAAGGGAACCCTATAACCATCAAACATGCACATTCTAAAATACCTATGCAGTGTGGATGTTTTTCCCAAGACATTTTCCAACTGAAAGTTTGAAATTACTTATCAAAATATACTTTATTAAGATACATTTATTGTATATCAAACTCAAATATGGAAATTATTTTTAAATTTTTTAGTCTATCTTGAAAAAATTGTGACATTTATTGCATAATTATTTGTAGTTTTTCTATGTCTTCCAACATATATAACAAAATAAAAATAAAATTTAGATAGGAACTTAATAATTTTTTATTTTAAAAATAAAACAACAACAAAAATTAAAACAATGATACAAAATTTAAAAACCAAGTAATAGGATATTAACACTATATCGCATTTATATAACATATTGTTAGTATATAGCATATTGTTATCTTTAGAGTGATTGTTCAGACAAGATTTAGACATAAAAATAAACAATCAATGAAAGCACAAACTTTTTTATGAAAGGAGATTAGTAGCCTACTTATCTCTTTGTACACACACACACAGACACACATACACATACACACACACACACACACACACACACACGCAGATAATATTTTCCCTTCTTTCTTTTCTCCTTTTCCCTAACCCAGTTATTTGTTCCTCTTGAGTGCTTTCTGTATCTTTCATTTGCACAAAACTCATTGTATATTTTGGATCTTATTTACTCGAACTAGGGAGACAATACTATATTTATACCTGTGATTCTGATTTATTTCACTTATGTGTATAATCTCAAGACACCTCTATCTCTAAACCTTTATCTATCTATCTTTCTATCATCTATCATATTACATATACTCAATTATAAATTTATGTATATACATATATATAAATGAAAAGAGAAAGAGAGATTAAAATTTTCTATAAACACGTGTATTCTCTCTCTCACTATCCAATGAGAGAAAGAAGATGACTTTGGGAATTATTTATCAGTGGAAATACTTATTTCATGGTTGGAGAAACATTCATTTGTGTAGTATATTTACGGTTCACTGACTCATTGCAGACACACACACGCATGCAAACACACTAGATATACTTATTTTATAACACAATAAGTAATATAACCACTAACAAAACAAAAATCTTTCATTATATTAATAAGAGATATGTCATAAAAGTTAGGAATATCACGCAGATATTTTGAGTACTGATTGGTGTTACTGTACCTGTTCTCAATCTTCAGACTGTTGAACCTATAACAAGAAGTCATGATTGTTTACAATGTAGTTTGTGAAGCTTAAACTCCCCATTCTCTATTGAAAAGTGGTGGGGTGCTTTGCTATCCTTTTGTGGAGATTCACAACTACTCTGAGGTCAAGTAAACTTGATGCCAGTTTTATACTCAAGCAGTTACAGCAAACAATAATTACTGTGGAAATGTCTGTCTAAGTGAATGTGTAACTGATGAGTTTCCTGTGAGAGAGGGCAGCAGAATTCTGACGGGTTCTGTGGGCTCTAGCACTTCATCTCAGGAATCAGCAGTTGCTCATAAGTACATGCATACAATCATTGGTGCTATATGGAAAAGTGCATTGAAGTAAATTTGAAACAAAACTGTGATAAGTTTTTACATTTCCATGCAGGAGATAATAAAATTGATGAACTAGGGTACCTGGTTAGTTGGTTACTTTTTGCATTCTGATATTAGTTTCTCACAATGTTGTAATGCTATTTTCACACTAAACAATCTCAAATATAAAAAAGCAGTAACTAGACTAACACCTGCTTTTCTTTCCAAGGATTGAAACCAACAGTGGAGGCTTTCTTCATTATGGTGCTTACCCTTTTGATGGCGGCTTGTTCAGTTGATTCTGTCACACTGGCCGTGACTGTAGGTCAGAGTGTGCTACTGCCCATACTAATATTTCTTATAAGCAACTACTTTTGGTTTATGCTGGTGAGTAGGAACTGTGCATCTTTCAAAAGTAGATTTTTCCATGTTCCTTCCTACACATTCACCCATCATGTAAATCTTTCTTTGAGGATACTGTATATGTATTAAAATAATTTTAGGAAGTCATATGTCAAAATAAGGATATAACGGAATGGCAGCTTTCCTCAGTATTCATATACAACCTTGTCGTGCATCAAATGTAATTACTATAGCTTATTTAACATGTGCTTATTGATTAGTTTTTTAAAGGACAGTTCTTGTGACATATTATGATACCTTCATAATATGAAACTGAAAAAAAATAATGATTGGCAGTTCCATTCATAAAAATGCCAGATTTTCTGCTTTCCTTCATGGAAGCATTAGAGAAATTGTGATTGTTAGCTACAACAGAAGTGATTTTTGGTGGATTTACTCCTCTCGTTTTTAAAAGTTAATTTGTCAGACAAGTTAGTGGTTTGTAACATGGGGAGTCCATTTGATTGCATCATTATTTTGAAAAAGATTCTTTTAAAACTTCAGGGAAGTTAAGACTTTACTGTCCAGGGTGACTTTCTACAAGTCTACTACAGGATTGGGCCATGGTAAGTAGACAATAAACTTTTAGTCTCCAGTGTGGACTTGTAGATCCTCATTGCCACTTCATAGAGAAAAGGAGGCAACTTTGACCAACAATCACACATGGTAGCTGTTAGGTACATAAGAGGGTCAGTTACCTGGGTACCAGTACACTGCCAGCAACACATTAGATCTCTTTGGATCACTAAAGAGTGCACTTTTCAATGAAGATTCTCCATCTTAATTGTATTTTGGCAATTCCAAAAATGTTCAGACTCTGTCCAACAACATTATGAATATTCAGAAAGGTACAGGTAGAAACCTTCTTGAGGAGTCATACTTGTGATTCATGGACCCCAGAAATAACTAACCATTTACAACTTGTGATTCATGGACCCCAGAAATAACTAACCATTTACAATTTCTCTGACACAATAGAGAGACAAAACTAAAATGAGAAAACAAGGTAATGAGATCTCTGCATAAATACACAACTCCATAAAAGATAACTTCATAGATAAGGAAGTAGCAGAAATTCCAGGTAAAGAATTAAAAATAAGCATAATGATTAAAGTGGCTAAAATGATCAATAAAGATAAGCAGATGAATAAATTAAAACTAAATTAATAGTTAAAGTAGACATGCAATGCAATTAAATTAATTAAAGATTATAGTGAAGGGTCTCAATGATTATTTTAGTAAAGAAAGAATTTCTAGAATCAAGTAGAAACTCTGAACTGAAAATCTCAAAAAAAAATTTGAAGATCCATTGAAGTATAAGCAATAGACAAAGTAAATCAGAAGATAAAATATCTGGTGGCAAAATAGGTTAGGGATGCTAGAACACACAGAAAGAATGGAAAAAAAGCGAAATGAATAACACTGATCTAATTATGTCTGCATTCCTGTATAAATGTAAAGAATGAACTTAAAGTCTGCTGGCCTAGTAGAAGGTGCTGAAGTAAAGGATAATGCATTAAAAATATCTATTCAATGAAATTACAGCAGGAAATTGCCTAAAACTTGGAAATGAGAGAAATATGTAGGTAAGGGAGGCACTAAGAACCACACATAGAAACAACCAGAAAAGAACTTCAACACAGCATACCATCGTCAAAATGCCAGAAGTTCAGAACAAAGAAACAAGAATAAAACTGTTAAGAGAAGTTCCAAATCACTTGAAAGGTCAAATCTATCAAAATAGCACATTTCTCACAAGAGAATTTAAGGTCCAGTAGGAATTGCAATGAATTTTTTCAAAACCTGAAAGAATCTAGTTACGAACTAGTTACTAATTGATGTAATCTGTGAAATCAAATGAAAAATAGACAGACCTTCCATGATAAACATAAGCTAGACCAAATTCTTATCCACTAAACTAGCATTTCTGCAAATTCTTAAGGGAATCCTAAATAAAACCCAGAACACAATAATTGGGAGAGAAAAGGGAAGAAGAAAGCTCAATGAAAGTAATGATAAAAGAATAAAAAATTAGAATCAAGTGCAAGCAAAAAATGTGACAGGAACGCTTTCAATAGTAACATTCAATGTTAAAAATTCTAATTCTTTAGTTAAAGAAGAGAATGTAAAGCTGAATCAAAACACATTGTCCATCCAAAGTTGCCTACAGGAAGTACACCTGCAGAGATTTCCTATAATGAGAGTGAAAGCATGGGAAATGAAATTCTAAAGAGACTTTAAAAGAAGCAGGGGCAGCTACACGCATGTCTGATAAGGTAGATGTTAAACCAAAAGGGGTCAGAAAAGAAAGCACAAAATACTAGTAATGGAAACAACATGCCAGGAAGACATAACAACCAAAAATATGAACACAGCAAAAATCTGGAACTATTAGACATAAAATGTCAGAGGTGCAGATTTCAGTACTACTATCACAATAGGTGAACCAGAAAACCAGCAGCAACAAAACATCAGAATTAAAATATATTGTAGATCAAATGGACCGAACCATTTTGTTTTTTATCCAACATCAGTAGAATACACTCTCTTTCACCATGCTCCATAACATTTTCAGAACAGACCACATTTTAGACCACAGAATAGCAAAAAGCTTGATACATTTGAAATAATTGCAGGCATCCCATAATATCATTATGAAATAAAACAAGAAATCAACAGCAAATCACAACCTCAGAGACAAAATATATAGAAATGGAATAACACAAGCATAAGAAATAGAGTAATAATCCCTTAAATGATCATTGAAGAAATCTAGAGAAATTTAAAAGTTACTCATAGCAAATTATTCTGGAAATACTATATATGGGAATCTGTGAAAGTTTTAGGAGGAATGTTTACAGGCATGTGTACCTAAATTAGAAAAATAGAACAAGGATATATAAATAACATAATTATGCATCTCAGGTTTCTAGAAAAGAAGGAATAGATCAGATATCAATGCAGTAGAAGAAACCAAAAGTTAAGGATTATAGAAGAAATCAGTGGAATTGAAACTTAAAAAGTACAAGAATGTGGAATCCAAAGATTTATTTCTTTGAACTGGTAAACAAGATTGATAAACCTTTTGTAAAAATTACCAAAAAATGAGAAGCCCAAATTAAGGAAACTAAAAATAAAAACTTGAAATCATTATCTGACATGACTGAAATCTAAAGGATCATTAAAAGCAATTTTCAAAATTTAATCACCACAGATGTAGAATCTGGAAAACATGATTATATTCTTAGACACATATGAAGTACATAAGTTGTGCCAAGAATATAGGCAAAATCTAAGTATATCAACAACAAGTGATTAAGCTTAAAATAGTATTAAACAATTCCAATTAGGAAAAGCTTAAGACCAGATGGTTTTGTAGATAAATAATATCAAACTTTATCAATGAATTAACACCAACACTCCTTCCAAATTTTCCATATAATAGAAGGAAAGTGTTTTCTCTCATATTCATTTTATGAGAGGAGCATTATCCTAATACAAAAATGAGAAAATAACTTCTCAAAAATGAAGGAAACTATAGAGCAATATCCTTCATGAACATGGTGCAAAAATACTCAAGTAAGTCCTCACTGACAGAATTTAAGAGTATATTAAATAAATCATCCATCAAAGACAAGTTAAATATATCCCAGGAATGCAAGAATTGTTCTACAGGCATAATTGAGTAAATATAACGATTCATACAGATAGAATCCAAAATAAAAATCATATGATCATTTTAATACACACTGAATAAACCTTTGACAAAATCCAATACTCATTCATTTACCTTAAAAACCACTGCAAATGGGTATGAAAGTACTTTACCTCAGAATGGCAAGTCATATATGACACACCCACAGCTAAAAGAATTTCCCCAACAGTTTTGAAGGGGACTATAGTATGTATTCCCATGGCTGTGATTCAGTGTAGAGCTTGAAACCAGTTAAGAGACAGAAAAAGAATATAAATAGGAAATTGAAGTAGAAACTTTGCTTTTTGCAGATGATGATTCTCCACATGCAGTGTCCAAAAAACTCCACCAGATGTCTTTTAGATCTGATAAATAAGTTGGGCAAAGTGATTGGATATCAAGCCAATACCCAAAAATAAGCTGGTGTTCTTCTATATCAATGATGAACCCACTGAGAAAGAAATCAGATAAACAATTCTTCACAAAAGTTTGATTTTAAAATGCATAGAAATCAACTTAACAAAAGAGGTGAAAATCTTCTGTAGTGAGAATTACAGTGCTTGAAAATAAGAAATTAAAGAGAACAATATACAACAGAGAGACTTCTTTGTTCTTGGAATATGTGAAAATTATTAAAATGGCTGTAAGCCCCCAACAAAATACTAATATTCTTCAACAAACTAGATAAAGCCATTGTGAATTTCATTTCAAAGAAAAAGACTGAGAACAGTTAAAGCAGTCCTGAGCCAAAGCAGTAACATTGCAGGTATCATTATATCAGACTTCAAAGTATAGCAGAAGGTGGCAGTGGAACAAAATACTGTTGACACAAAATTCAAATGTAGAGCAATAGAAAAAGACACAGAAACAAGCATGAAAATCTACAACCAAGGATGCAGAGGAGAAGGAAATTGTGTGTATTGTGATTGGGAAGTTAAACCACTACAATCATTATGGAGATTCCTCAAAAGTTTAAACCAATGATGATGAGACATTTGGAGATGATCACCCAATGGCAACCCCAAACCCACTTATTTAGCAAGAAAGGCCAACACTACAATTGAATTCAACTACTGAAAATTTAGTTTAGAAAAAAAAAAACACAACTTATACATTAACACCTTTTTCCTTAAAAGAAAAACAAAGGACACATGTTCCATAAATTTATCACCACTGAACTCTTAAACCATTTGAAATATCATTAAACATAGCTATATAACTTGGGTATATTCCAGAGAGAATCATGGACTGCCTACTACATAGATATATGCATAAACTGTGTTTGTATGTGGAATTCACAGTTGCTAAGCAATGACATACCCATTAACAGATTAATGGATAAAGAAAATGTGAGACACACACACACACACACACACACACACACACATCATGGAATACTACTAAGCCATATAGAAGCATGAAATCGAGTCATTTGCAGGAAAATGGCTGGAACTAGAAATTATCATGTTAAATGAAATTAAGAATTAAAAGTTATGTGTTTTTATTTTGTGAATACCATAAAATACATAAATTAATAAGCAAATAATTAAAATAAAGCAGAGAACAGGAAGCCATGAAGAATACTTCTGAAGTGGAATAGGAGCCAAGTTGGATAGAGCAGAAGAGAAAGGAATTGAAATTGATTAAGGTATGTTAATCATGTACCAACTTTCCAAAGTGACCTGCACCATCATGTAATATTAACAGGCACTGAAACAAGACAATTTTAAAATACCAGAAAATTTGTAAGTCAGCAGAACTCAGTCACTTTCTTTCTGAGTTTGTAACGATCTCATACATCAATATGTCTGCTTACATTTTTAAAAATATGGCCTGGTTCTGGTCTTCCATATATCTCAATTTTGCACTCACATAGGTGAGTTATAAGAATAGTGGAACGTTTTCTCTTATCACATCAATTAAGCAGAAATATTTTGCCTCTTAAAACACAGATCCTTCCTGCTACAGAAGAAGTACATGTCTCCAAATAATACATAATTACAATGTCAGTGGTGGTGATCCTGTAGCAGCATGGCACAGATGACTGTTTGTTATCTTTGAAAACTCTGAAGAGTTTGCCATCACCGCCATAAGCTCCTGAAAAAATCTTTTGCTTGTACTTTGAATTTGGCAACTACTAATGTAGATATCATTAGGAAAATACTATGCTTTGTCAACAGAAAGTAAATCTCAATAAATAAAAATGTTTCACTGATTTTACTCGATGCTTGTACAAATTGTTATGTAAAGATGTCTATGCAGCTTTGAACACATTCATAATAGGATGGAGTCTAAACATGGGCACACTCAACAGCAGCACAGACTTTTGTGCATATCCCACTAGAACTTGTCCCAGTTAGCGTAACTTTTATGTGAACCTCACAGTGCCACTTGTTCCTCTTGAACAATCCAGGAATGATCCCTGCCACAGTGCTTTTGCTTCAGTTTAAATGCGCTAATTGACCACATTATCTACTGTATTTTACATTATGGTGTTTATCACTTCTTGATTTTGGGTTATGGTAAGCCTGTTTCTGACACAAATGTATGAAATAAAAGTGCAAAACTTTGTGAGTAATATACTATTTCTGTAAGGAAGTAGAATGAGTTATGTGATGCTTAGGATTGTTCTGGTCTGTTCGAGAATTGCTAACAGTTTTTAGAAGAGATGGGTATGGTATCCGTTGAATACTCAGTAGGTTGGTCCATAAAGTTCATTAGTTCCATACTGAGAGAATGAAGTAATCTTGGCTCTAAAACATATAAAAAAATTATATCCATACTGAATAAATGCTTCATTTCTTTCTCGTCATTATTCTCTAATATGATATTGCAGACCCAGTTTTCATTGTATTAGTCTGAGGATTGTGGAATTATTGAGAAAGACATTTTCTGGAATTCCTCCTGAAATTTCTGAACCTGTTGTAATTCATAGTTTTTGCTTTTTTGCAGAGATTTTGGCTTGTGACTGGTTTTTCGGGAACCAATGAATCTTGGGTCTCTTGGCTTCAATACATCAATGTTCCATATTATGGCATGATGGTAATTGTGCTTATCTGTCTTTATGACTGCGTTCCTGGGCTGGAGAAAACCAAAATAAGCTCCGATCATCCTGTTTTCCTGACCACTGATCTAAGAAGCAGTGGAAGAGAAATTCTTATTGCAGTGATTACCACAAGTTCAGGGAGTCACAACGTTTTTTCCCAGTCTTTCCACTCTGTTAGAGGCAGAAGGTGAGGTGAATCTGATTGTAAAGGAAAAGTTGACCTATTGATGAAAACATACTGCTATTTCCATTCCGTGAGGAAATGAAGGTGACAGGAGACTGCATGGTTTGCATCTCAAACAAGCACCAAGAACAAAGATCATGTAATCCTGATAGGCACGTTTGCTTTAGTGTACTTATCAATCACAAAGAAAATAGTTTCTTCTTAAATTGTAATGTAATATAAACAAATACTAATAAATAGAATGTTAAGGGTACTCTTCTTACTTCTAAGAAAAAAGTAAAACAAAATAACTAGGGAATAACAACAGTTAATAGACTGCGTATCCTAATCTTAGAAAAATAGCCAAAACATCACTCAGTAAAATTCATAGAAAAAAAGATTCTTACAATGAAGAAATAAGTAGCTAAAAGCACAAAACTTTCTTTTCAACAAACTAAATGAAACTTCTCATGTAAGTGTGTTTCCACTCCCATAATTCCAACTTGTTTTTAAAAAATAAAGAACAAAAATTGTTGCCATAAATCAATACTTTTCATTGAACATCACTGTTATGAAATTTAGTAATTTTGAGGTTATAATTCAACAGAGAAAACGGAAGAGCTACAATCTCAGCTAATGTATCCAGTGTTCTCCTTTGCAACTTGAAACTGACACTTCAACCCTTAGACCACTTCAGTACCAAGAAAAATAAGCCTAGTTCCTTCGCTGCGACAAGGACAGTGAATCTGAAACTTAGCGTGTTTTCAGAAAGAAAAAAATGGGAATATTGAACTAAATGTATTAGAAAATTTTTAAAATTTCCAAGCATTTACTTTGCTCTATATTCCATTGTGTTTTAGGCTTTGCAGCACAATGAATTTTGGGGGCAAAACTTCTGTACAGGACACAGTGAAACAGGGTTCAGTGGCTGTTCCAATTATGTAATGTAAGTCAATGTTCAGGGTCATGATAGATTTGCTCCTTTCTTTGATGCCATGGATAAAGGCTTTTGGGCTTATAGTTGGTATAAGACATTTCTATCAACAAATCATTCTGTACCTAACTTATCCCATGTGTAAGTGAATCAGTCGGCACTAATGTATGTGAATATGCCACACAACTCTTGTGTTCTTCTGCAGTAAACATTATGTTTATGGCAGACAAATGGTTGTGTTATACTTTTGAAATTGTTTTGATGGTTGGTTTAAATTTTTTTCTTTGAGGATATTTGTGTTTGAAATGGGCTGCTTCGATAATGAATCAAGGATTTAGAGTCCCTAACATTTCTGACTCCTGAGCAATAGCAGGAGCTAAAAGAACAACAACAGCATACAAGGAGTAAATGTAATCCAGCTATGATCCTAGCAACCCTCTTTACCTGGGGCATTGGAAGACTTGATGAAATAACAATCTACCCAGTTGAGTGTGCCTCTGTGTGTAAATATTTATAAAATTCATCCTCTAAGGAAAGAGCATGTATCTCAACAGACAGAAGTAAGTCTCATTTCTGCATAATGATATTAAAATATAGGTACAGTTTTCATAAAGTTAGAAGATCCTTTTGTGAAATTTTAATGACACTTTCCTTGTCCATGTTTGTTGTTATTATTTGATTATCGTACATACATTTATGTGAGAAGAGAATATTTCGTTTTGTTTCCTGGTGTCTTCCAATGTTGAGGCGAGGGGAATCGCACTAGTTGTGTCTATACGCTGTTGCTTTTCCTATAACTCCTGTTATCGCGTACAGGCTGGGCTCACAGGGAAACAGAGACTATATGTTATTGCTTAACTATCAGAACAACCCATTTCAAACTGAAATGTACTGAAGAGAAGTCATATTGTAATTCACATAATGTACAAATAATTCTTAGAATTGAAAGAAATTTTAAAATAAATTATTAAGTATAAAAGCTCGCATGAGGAAGTGTTCTCTTTATCCAAAGGATTGCCTTTGATTTGATGCAGATGTGGAAAATTTATAGGAAATATTCACTGCCCACCTTTTGGTCAGGAGGAAGTGGGTAGAAAAAGTGGGACCAGGGAAGGAGGATCTGCCACAGGGTCAAAGAAAAGAGGCTGCAGATGATTTTAGTCCTGTCAAGTTCCAAGAGATGTGGAAGAATGGGAGCAGGCAATAATTCTGGCTCCCATGTACATTTTGAGTACAAAAGCTTTTAAATCCATAGCAGGAAATGTTTATCTTGCTCTTCTCCAGCCACCTAAGATTTGAATTGGATGTTTCGGCCTGCTGGTAATGCCTTGTAGCTGAGAACCTTTGCTGCTCAGCAGTCTTAGCACAAGATCCGATAGAATGTGATCTGAGCAAAACCCTTATTCCTTCCCTGTTGTCCCACTTTTAGGATTCATAACCTGGTTTCTGAATGTATTTTTTTGATCGATTATCAGAATGACAGGGAGCTGTGAGTTTGTTAGCAAGGGCTGTGAATGTCATAGGATAAACCCTCACCGTTTCTCACTAAAAGACAATAAAAAAAACACTTCATAAATATTTCCTTTGAAGAGAACAGTATTACAGATTTGTAAACAAATTAATCAAAGGAGGCTAGAAAAATAGCTACACTCTATAACTGTGGCCAACTTTCTTAAACCTAATCCCATTCATTCTTTAAATGTGCATTATATCTCCTCTCTGCACTGTTTAGCAATTAGATGTCTAGATAGTATCTAGCAAATGTTAATTACTCCTCACTGACTCTCAACTACTATAAATTGAAGTGATAACTATTAATATTTGGAGAACCTATAGGATTCTTTATCAAAGGAATATTGATGATTCAGATTAAGATATAACATATGCTAAAAATGAAGTTATATCCCTTGTGTCTTGCATTTCAGGTGTTCTGGTGAAGAATTCCTGACAATGGCGGGTATTGATCTCTCTACTTGGGGCTTTTGGAAGAATCATGTAGTTTTGGCTCTTGTAACAATTATCTTCTTCACGATGGTGTTCTTAAAATTATTATTCCTTAAAAAACATTTTTAAATTCCCCTTCATATTACTGTGAATTACTTTCATATTAAAAAATCATGATTTATTTCCAGAGTCCAAATGTCTACTTCTGTTTTCTGTCACTTTCCATTACACTGTTGTCAGCAGAAACTACTTTTAATGGAACTATTTATCAAAAGCTGAGTTATTTGAAGTATGGGAAGATCTCAAATGAAACACTAAAAGTATTATACAGTCTTCATTAAGTCATAATCACGGGCAGCAATCTAATGTGTTGAAATGAAAAATTAAAATGGAATTCTAGAAAGCTTTGTAAAAACACTAATATCTTTGATATTATTTTCCACACCTTTCAAATGAATAGGTGGCCTACTAATTCTCCAGTTTGAATGGTCCATGAATCTGTGTTCTACTGTTCTTTGTCTCTCTTTTTCTTTTTTTCATTTATTGTTTTTGTTTGCAGGAGGAGTTAAAAAAATTTGAAGAGTTTTTGCTCCCCTAAACATGAATCATTCAAATAAAATCAACTTAACTAAAGAAATGTAGCAAAGTAAGGGGAAAGCACAACAATACAAGAAGCAATGGTTGGGGGAAGAGAAATGGGTACAATCTAAATAGCACATATGCACAAATGCCATATGATTCAGCTGCTCACGACAGCCTCCTAGGGAGGCAAGCAAAAGAGGATGTTTCCCCCCAAGCATCATAGAACATTTCAATATAAACTTAATATTAAAAAGATAAATATTATTCAAAAATGTGTATAATCCCAAGAAACACCCAGCCATAAGTGTTTTGCAGTTGATTATGGTGTTGCTTTCAATTTACAAAAAGATTAACAAAAAATGTTACATTTTTTTCTCATTTTATACTTGTTAAGATAGGAGAATTCAGAAAAATCTTAGAAAACCAACCAGAAAGTGCCCTCCAGTTTCCACTGCTTTTGCAGAGGATCAGCAACACAAGAAAGTTTGGGACACTGGCGATGCTGCGAGAGAATGGCAGGCCCAACCCAGCAAATGCAAGCGCAGAGTGCACCGAAAGTGCTTAGGAGCAAGTCTGTGTGACACAGAGATGCACAGAAGAGGGGACCACGGGGTGGTCAGAAAGGCCTTAAACTTCTGCTTGCTGTACAAAAGCGGATTGCACAAAGATCCAAGCGGTTTGGTCCCAAACTGTGGTGAACATTTCAATGTTTATTCACATGCTTTGCTTTCTCTTTTAAGAATTAAAGTTGCACAAATTAAATCTTTCTTCCCTTATTACATACACCTTTAAAAAGGGGCCTTTGATGATCAAGTTAGGTTAGAAGAGACTGAAAATCCAATTAGTCCTCTTAGCTCCAAATGACATGAAAATTAAAAGCAAAACTATTGATTTCTAATTGTGAGCAAACCAAAATCAAGCATCGCGCTCTCTCTCTTACCCTAAGCCCCACCCCATACACCAATAAGAAATGAGGAACACAGCTAGAGCCCAACATGTCCTGCTCTGCTGAGAGCTGGCCTGACCCCAGGTTCTATGGTGGCCTCCTCTATCCAGTGGGACACAGCCCAGGAACACTTTCCACTGTAGTAGGCTTCTGCATGGCTGGTGGGGTGGGATGTTCAGAATCTTCTTGAGGACACCCTGTTCAGCTCCTCACCAGCCACCTTCCCAGTGTCTCTTTCCCCTGGACCAGCGTGGCCCCTACTGAGTGGAAGGAAAACAAAGTTATAAATACGTCCTCTTTCCAATCTTATCATCTTCAATCTCCCCTTCTTCCCCACTGAACTTGTGGGCCCATTTGAGGCTGGTACTTGATTTCCAGAACATGAACTGGCACTTACCATGGGGAAGGCTCCTTGGTCCCAGCGCTGGCTCACCCACTTATCACTGCCTTTAATTTCTGGGTCATCATGCAAGTACTACTTTGCTTCTGGGCATGGATTCCGGATCCCATTCCTCTTCCAAGTTTGTTCTTTGAAGATCATTGTTAGTTCTGTCATTGCTACCAGAGTAGTGGTCTCTACCCTAGCCTCTTTCTCTGGCTCAAAATTGAAAGCTTCTTCTCTCTCCTCTGTCTCTTCACAATACTCTTCACTTTTGTAGTACTGACATGACTGAGAGGCAGAGGAAGAGGAAGAGGAAGAACAGGAAGAGGAAGAGGAAGCTTGACTGGTCTTGTGCTCTCCTATGCTTCTTCTGCTTCTTTGATTCTTTATGCGTTTTCTCTGCTTTCTCAGTTGACCTTTCCCTGAATGGCTTACATCATGGGAATTATTGAGTCTCTTGATTTACTTTATTTAAGATCCCTTAAAAAAATAAGATTCCTTATTTTTTATGACAGTCAGTATTAAGGCAGAGATCAACAGGATCACCTTTGTATTTTCCCTCAGCCTTATGTTTATGTTCCTAAGGACTTTTCATTTTGTCATGAGCCAAACCATGTTTTCTGAATGTAGTGGGGGAAATATCTATTGTTTTGTGTATCTCTGAGCTTTTCTTATTTTTAGCTGCCTCCTGTTCAGCTCCCCTTTAGGTATTTAGTAAAATATCCATGAAGTGTCATTCTAGAGGATCCAGTGATGTTCTTTAACATGGTGAATGAATGATGGTCACTATATGCTGAGCAAATAATTCTGAAGGGCTACACTGAGACTGAGCTGACTGTATGTGCTGGAAAATGAAATGAAACTCCTGTTCCTTTTTGTTGCTAAAACTTGATAACAACAAAGCTTGTGTTCCTTGGCCAATAAGCCACTGGTTCATGTGAGGTCCTTGTTGAATGAGTCCTTCCAAATATTGACCTGGGCCTCTCTAGTAATGGAAAACGGACTTTCTTGAGGAAAATTCTCCTTTGTCTCCCAGCTTTTCACGGCTCTCAAAAGTCTTCCTGTGGGAAGTTGATGAGTTTTTCTCTTGAGTTGCTTTGTAAGAAGTCTCTCAAATACTTTTCTCCAGAACAAATCCCCTGTGCCCGCTTTTGGCTCTCTAGGCCTCTCCTCACTCTTCCTTTTTAAATCCCTCTGTGAAAGACAGTCTCCTCCCAAGCTCTTCCGCTTTGTTCTGCTTTTTCTTCCCTGCATACACCAGCCTTTCCCAATTGCCTGACTTCCCCTTCTCCTGGCTTTAATTTACACCAGCTATGACATTAGATATAAATTTGGGTTCAACATCACACTCAGATTCTTTCCTACCCTTAGTTTTCTCCCTTTCTTGGTCACTTATCTCTACCTTATAGAAGTCTGCCATCTTCTCAGAGACATCAGGGAGCTTATACCTTTGGGATGACTGAATGCCCCCAAAGGGCTTCTCAGTATCAGTCTTAGAAGCAAATGGTTTTGCATCAGCCTCAGAAGCCTCCTTTCTCCTTTGTCTTTATCATAATTTATCTGTTTCTACACAGCAAAGGAAGCAATCAACTGAATAAAAAGACAGTATACATGGTGGGAAATACTTTTGCCATTTATTCCATATACAGGGGACTAATATCTAGACTACATAAAAACATGAGCAAATTAGACCCAATCCAAAGTTGGTTAGTGAAATGAAGACCCTTCATTAAAGAGGAAAAAGAAGGAGGACAGCAAAGAGAAGTTGCAACAGGTGTTGAAGGAGGACAAAACTTGAAATATTCAACATTACTCGCCACTACACAAATTTAAACTAAAGAGTAGAAGTACCTGGTTTTTTCTTAGTTGGTGGCCAGAAAAACCCAGGAGTAACTAGTTGCACTAGTTCTGCTGTGTTTTCTAGAGATTGCAACTGGCATCTTCTTTAAAGGGTCCTGAATGTTCTTAAAGTAAACTCAGATAGATCTGAGAAGTGAGAGGAATGTTCTACATGGGGCACTTGATACTCTGTCATGTGCTGGGTGCCTCCACTTTTAGCTGAAGACATGAGCTGAGATCATCCTGAGAGCACTCACATCACGCCTGTGCCATGTGTGTCTCCATGTTATGCTCCCAGGTTTCTTCACAGTGGAAAGAATCTCAGCTTGGGTGCAGAAGGAGACTGGAAATGCTGGGGTTAATGCTTCAAAAGAACCCTTTTGAAAGGAACAAAGGCAAAAAGTCCTAGATTTACATTTTTATGACAGTCATAGGATGCATTTATTTTTGCTGTCTAAAGAGACTGAGCCGCTGTTACCTGAAGAGGCAAATTTAGCAATTCTTGTGGCATGTTAGAATTTCCTTCTTTGCACTATTTCTGATCTTCATTTCCTAGTATAGCCTTCCAGATAAACTATCTGACCCGAATCTTTCTCTAGTGTCCTTTATTTTATAGAAACACGAACTGAAACACATTCCTATTGAAGCAGATACAATACTGTATAATCTACTAAGCCACTTCACTGCAATGTTCTTATTTACAGAGACCTTTACAAGTAACCTAATCAATCAACACAGATTCAGAGTTACTACAGAAACTCAACAAACGTGCAGAGTAAGATTATTTTATGAAAACAGTGATATTCCTGTATAATCATGAGGTCCAGCTAAAATCTTCTGAAAGATATGATTATGTGTATCAAAGCAACCAACCATAAAATACTAATGAAATCATAGTTGCAATAAAATTCTTTATATTAATGAATGTATGAGATTTTTTATTTTAAAGAGAAATAAACAAAAATAGCAATAAACAGTTTCAAAACAGGCAAGTAGGAGAGTAACAATAATTAGTACATTATATACAGTTGTATTCACAATAGCTCTTTACAGTACAAGATATAGATATAATGAAATATTGTCCAAAGCAGTGTTTTCACAAAGGTTTCTTTTCAATGAACTATGAGAAACTAGCTTTGTAGCTATCTTGTTTTATATATATATATATATATATATATATATATATATAATTTTATTTTTTCCTTTCCTTCCTTTCTCTGTTCTCTCATGATGGTTTTAATTTTCTTTTCTACAGGTTTTTCACTATTCACAATACCCATTTTCAATTTTGAATCTTATTTATTCTTTCAGTTTCTCACAGGAACAAGACAATTTAGGATTTAATTTATTACCCTGGTGAGTATGATCTTCAGTTGCATCCATTTTCCTATATGTCTGAGGTTATCTTTGTTTTTTATTTTAAAGAGAATCAAACAAACCA